CTACCAAAATAGCTCTCAGTGAATAGATTCACACAGCTCGTGTGATTTCAAACAGCCATCATTTGTGAACTGAATAAAAGAAATCTGCAAAAATCGAAGCACGCAAAATGAGCCGCAGACAACAAACAACTCCTTACTAATGCAAAAGTAGATATGCACTGATGTGTTCACGCGTTTTTACGCTTCTTCTGAGCTACGTAAGCAGTACAGTTTGATGCAGTAGCCGCAGGAAGATACAATTCTAGGAGATGTTATATCCACGTTTGTAGAGACAAACAAAAATTCGAAGAACAGTCATTCCCTGTGATTCAAATTCAGCACTTTCGAAATTCGTCTACTTCCTCTTTCGATGCAACATCAAGTCTTTGAATGGCTGCTTAAGCCCCGTGAGAATCCTGCCATCTAACAGCAGATAAATAGGTCATTTCTTGTCACTCTGAAAGGAAAGAGTAAATAACAAAGCTAATAAATGCTCATTGCGTATGTAATGGCTGTGTGCGTCTGTCCGGATATTTCAACTCGCAAACAAACAACTTAGATGATGGTTGAGTTCCTCGAAATGAAGTTATATCTTTTACGCCCCTTCCCTCAATTACAATAAGCCGTAATTTGTCCATCACGCTGATTTTTATGCTTTTTATGCGTTTTTGCTGTACAGCACTGCTATAGCGCTGCTACAACCAGCAAAAACGCATACTGTCGAAATGCTGTCTGTGTGTGTTCGGAAAGCGGATGCATTTTGTCACCCACTTTCATCTCAGCAACTAGGAAAGCTGGGAGGCTGAAACTTTAGATATATGTTCGTACCCGTGTGTCATCCTCACGTTTTAAGATCTTTCCCATACGCGCTAGACTCCGCATACGGGACCCCAAAGAAATATGTTGGCGGGAAACGATTTCACGAACCAGGCAAGGTAGAAAGCTGAAATTTTGCAGGGATATTCTCAACGACCTGCGAGCTAAAGATTTTAAACTCAGCTGTCGAGCACCCTAACCACAGCCTCAAGTAGCTCCTCAACCCAAAAATCGTTAGCAACTCGGGCCCGAACCATAACCGTATATGTAAATGAACATGGGTTTTTTGACAAACGGCCGCTCGAGCAATACTTCTGCTTCTTAGTGAACTGAACATTTGCATTTTTTTATGAAATTTGCATTTGTCATTTTTTCACAAAGCGAGCATTTACCGAAAAAACAACCGGACTTCACGCAAAAAACCGATAATCATGCCCCTGGATGTCCGTGCGGCTCTAAAATGTACCACCTTCATCCCAACTGACGCCCTTCCTCCTGCATGCCGAAAAGGATCAGTGCACGGCCAATATGACCGAAGTGTTAGGCTACAGCGTAGTGATCATTCTTGCTAATAGCGATCTGCGAGTTTAGTGCAAAAACGCATGATCGCACCGGAGAGCCTGGTGCGCTCCAGCCTGCGTTTCATATACACAAATGCAGAAAGGAATACTACAGCGACTCACAGTGTGTATGTGCGTCCGCCAGCATATTTTAATTCGCAACCAAGCAAGTTCCAACGCTAAAATTTTGCCATCACGATATGTCTGGGGTTTCCCCTATGCTAGGCACCGGTACTAAACTTCGGAAAGATTTGTTGCTTCAACCTGTTATGCTGAAATATTGCTCCCCGTAGTTTAACCCACACAAGAAGACACAGCCACACATCACAGTGACCTCT